GAAATGGGGGAAGTCTCAGGGTCGCTTGACCTCTGGGCTGCAGGCAGTGGCATTTTAATCTCGCCCTGGGATGGACGCTGGCTATATCACTGCTGATTCATGGCAGAGAAGCCCAGGAAGCCCCCCCCCCCACAAAATGAAAAAAAATCCTTGAAATTTCACACAGTTGCTCAGATACTTCTGGAGGCAAAGATGAGTCCAAGCTGCTACTAGCTAGATGTACCTCCACTGGGGCACATTTTATACTGTGTCTGTACCTATATACTCCATACTCCCATTACTCCTAAAACAGCAGAGTGGGCAGTTGGCTCAGCTCACTGAGCAATGATAACCACCTCCCCAGCCCCCCCCCCCCCCAACGTTCAGGCTTATCGCCAGTCTTTCATGCAGTTACAGACCCTAATCAAGACAAACGGCAGCCCCTCCCTTGCACTCCTTTCTCATTCCTGCTTGCTGCCCCCCAGTGCACCACCCCCCAGACCCGCAGGGGCTGCCGGCCTGCTCGGGGTCTGGCCATAATTGGTTTAGACATAATTTACTGCTCACTTGGTAATGTAGCATTTCAGCATCTGATAAAAATCATATCAAGTCGCAGCACTGGGTGCGCAGGCTTGAAAGGGAAGCGGTCTAATCATTTCGATGCTGCCCCCCTTCCCCCCCCCCCCCCCCCCCCCCCCCCCCTGGCTCACTTTCGCAGGCTGGGGCACGGAGCAGCCATCATTGTTGCTGAAGCGTCTCTGGCTCCAGTCTCGGGGCTCTTGTGTCACCCCCCGTCACTGAGCTGAGCTGTGGGCCAGTTCTTTTGTCCCCTCCGCGTATTTCATAAGCGCGGCGGTGAGCTAGAGCCAGGGGTCCAGTGGGGCTTAGTGACACCCAGCAAAGTGCAGCCCACAGGACACGTCTACAGCTTCGGACACGCCAGAAGAGTCCACTGCAGGACATCTGGGGACTCACAATCTCATATCCCCCCTCAGGTCACCCCGACTCAGCCCAGCCCATCACCTCCATACGCTCTGTCATATTTACAGCTGACAGCGAAACTTCCAGAGCAGGAAGAGGAAATGAGACAGACCTGCGATAGGCTTCAACCTCAGATGCTTTGACTCATCCCACGACTACCTTCCTGGTCACTGAACCCATGCTGATCTGAGGACAGTGCTGGGCTCTCTATAACAGCTCAAAGCAGGCGTGGTACCAGTGCGAGGGGCCCGTCGGCTACCGCATTCGTGCAAATAGACGGTTTCTCTTTCATTGGATTTCTGATGTAGGTTTTCTTCATGTATCCCTGCTAGCTATGTGGCCACTTCACATGAGTGACTCTTCCATTACCATGGGAGACTCACTGGCTGTCGTCAGAGGAGCCCAAACACAGCGGCCTCATCTCTGCACAGCCCTCCCCTCCCTGACCGGAACATCGTCAGCCAGGCTGATACGGGTCAGGAGCACGGCTCACCCCATAACTTCTGGTATTTGTCACTGTGATTTAGAACAGTCTATTACGGGACTTGAAAAGACTTGGCCCAGAATGCACAATTTGCTTTGTTTCTTATGAGCTGCACTAAATCTGTTTTATCAGTGATGGGAAGATTGCTGGGGTTTGGGATTTCAGATGGGGGTGGGGGGGGGTGGTGTTAGGGGAGTTGGGGAGGGGAAAATCTCATTGACCCCCATGGGGGCTCGCTTCCTGCAAGTCCTGTGCTCGGGACAGAGACGGGAGCAGGGTATGGAAGACGTATCGTAGGGTCTGAATGGTACCAGAATCTGGACCCCCCCTGGCAGAGAGCAGACTCCTGGAAAGCTCTCACCCAGCCAGCATGCACTGGGCTGAACTCAGTTAAGCACAGAAACACCATGCAAACCCTCTCTGACATGCTTTTGGCAGACATATCAGTACTAATCTGCCTGACATCTCACTGAAGCGCATGACCAGAAGTTTAGAGTAAAAAGGAAAAAATTTGGCTGTGACAAATGTATGCAAATGTCTGCTTGATAACTTTCAATGGTTAATGCTATAGGAACGTGATACAGCGATTTGTTTGGCGACTGGCTTTGACGGATGACTTGTCCCCTTGTGCCTGAAATCTCAATCATCCATATAAAAACCGATCAGCGGTAAGTGTTGGAAAATAGCCTTTGGCTAAAAGCCATCAGCTATGTTATATTCAAAGTATCTCTTTCAGCGTGTTTTTAAATCTCTATTAATTTAATAAATATTTGTACATAAAAAATTATTTGGAAGTATTTCGCTTCAAAAGGTCCTTCAAACAAATGACCCCTCTCACCAAACCTATAGAACCTTCTACACGTTTTGCGAAAATGTCAATATAAAACAGCCGCTTATCTCTCTCTGGGGTGGGGGTGGGGGTGGGGGGCTGTTGTGGACTCTGGGAAAAGTCTGCGTGCTTCTTTCTGCCATGGGGAACTGAAGTCAGTATACACCAGGCTGGGATGGTTACAGCTCCACCCACCTGGGCAGTAGGGGGTGTTTAGCCTGGGGCATGTAGTCCAGGTGGGGGTTTGTAGAGGCATGAAGCCCCCTGTGGCAGCTCCCACGAGAGACATAGCATGGTAAACAATGGCAGGCTGCTGCCCCCCCGATACGGACAGCCTCTCCACCCAGTGCACCAGCCCCATTGTGCTCTGCTCTCTCATTACCTCTGCTTATCCAGGGGGGTCCGCTCTGCTCACACCCTATTTATGCACCACTTCACCTTTCCGGTTTGCTTTATGTTGCAGGCAAAACCCAAGGACATCTGACCCCCCACACCCCCCCATCACAGAGCTGATAACAGGCTGCATTTCGGGCTTAAGTTCTGTGTGTAGCTTTTTCAGACCTGCAGGGAATGCTCTCAACCAGCAGGTTTGTATTGGGGAGTGGGGTGGATGCGGGGGTGGGGGGGTGTCCTGCTGTAACGGACGCAGGTAGCTGGAAGAAAAGGCCCTGTTGTATCATCATGCCGACAGCCCGCCTGTTAATCTTGGCTGGCATCGCAGTAGGAGTTGGAGGGTGGCGGGGGGGTGCCATTAGTTAGTGAGATGTTGTGGGTCATGCCTTATCTGGGTAAACCTGAGGGGGAATCTCAGGAGGCGAGACTCTAGTTATGTCTTTTCTGTTTGGGGATTGTAAAATGAGAACAAAAATTATGCAGTGGCCAGTCACATTGCAGACATGCCATTAGCGGCTGCTGATAAAGGCTGAGGCCTCCAGGTCTCGGGCCTGGGGATAAATTTTATAACAATCCCAAGCTTCAGGGCCTCAGATTGGGCTTCCACCTGGTAATCCTCCCCGGTGCAGCTAAACCCGCTATGGAAGTGGGGCGTAATAATACAGATCAGGTTTTCATGCTACTGAAGCTGTCTCCAGAAAGAAGCATGACCTTCAAAAAAACATAAATAATTTCCCCCAAAAAAAGTATTTTGCAAAGGAAGGCACTGCAAGTATATTAGCTTTTATCCAAACCTATGCACTGATTCATTGCTGATTTATTGGGCTGGATATTTTGCTAGGAAATCTGGGTGATTCATTTCTCAGCCTTTTGGTCACAGTTGAAGCTTCTACGCCAGCTCTGCGCGACCTAGACCATAGACCAGACGTTTGAGACGTCTGCTATATCTTCAGCGTTTCTGTGTCTTGGTAGGCATCCGGTTTAGCTTTACAGATTTCATGAGACAGCCAGTCCCGTCCAAGAGAAACCTATTAGTAGTTATAGTGTAAAGTCCCTTGTTTAAGTAGTCTCAAATGAAAAACAGATGCCTTGAGAACAAACCAGACAACATGTTGATCGTTCCTAAAGAAATACTAAGTATTTCCATCCATTCTAACACATAAAGAGCCAACAGGCATATAAATGGCACCCACTTGGGCTGTTGGGTAGCGCATCTGTGATTGTCCTGGGAGATGAAAGTGGTGGCACCCAAGAGCACGTGTGCGGGTGCTCGTGCCAGGCACTACTGCGGGTGGCGGAGCCCTAACTTCCAAACCTCGTCTATCAAACCATCTACTTAACGACATAATAATATGTGTCAAATGAGAGCGCCGTTCTCCAATTACGGGAAACCAAAGTCTAATTGTACTGATTACAGACAGTGACTTCAGAACTGGGAACCATTTTGGTCACTGGTGCAAATGAGCTGATTTCTTTTAATAAAGCCAAAACAAATAAGATTGTGTGTGAGGATGGGGGGGGGGGGGGGGGGTGGGGGCTTTCGCTTTGTCACTTTTAGCCTAAAGATGACACAAACCAACACAGATCTCCTGCACTGTTTCTGCACCGAAACTCGTGGCTAATGGAGAAAGTCTCACCCAGGGAGAAGGTGCCAACCTACAAGGTTTCACAGTGTATGTGATACTTGGGGAGCAGCTGGGAAACACATAGGAAGGGTATCAGTGTGATTTCCTGCAAACCCAGATACAGCCACGTACGAATGAGCAGAAGGGCTCAGTGAGCTAGTCGTTTAGGGCCCGTGAACAGCCATCAGAGACTACAGAGGGCTCCCGCTCACCCAGCTCCTCCCGCTGCTGTGTCCGCCTGCGCTTACTGCGCTTCCCCGCCCTTCTACCCCGGCATCCCACTCAACAGTCCCTTGGATTAGCTGCGGGAAAATGACAGCAATTAGAATCATTCTCACCCATAAGCCCATGGCGCCTGCGTCCGGCCCCTAGCGACAGGTCACCCCAATTTCATTGTGTCTCTCTGCCCCCTGAGCTGGGGCCGACAAGGCAGATGCAGCCCTCGGCGGGTGGAGGTGGAACAGCGGGGAGGCGCAGATCCCGGCCTTTCCGAGCAGCCCTGCCCCCAGGCTTCTCTCCCCATGCTTCATCCTGGACCCCTGGGAGTCAGTGGGAGGCGGGGGGGGCATCCCTTAATCGTGTACGTCTGTGTGTTGCCTCTTTATTCAGGCGTGCTAATCTCATTGTGGCCCAATAAAGACGTCATCACACTTCATTCCCCTGTTCATTTACAGGCCTGATCTGCCATCGTCAGGGAGACCTTCTCACCTCGCCAGCTGCAAGCGCCTTTTCATTCATCCAGTTGAGAAAAGGAGAACATTGAGCAGATATGAGTGCAAATCTTGAAAACCTCCTAAAAGGGCTTTATTGATCACAAGCAGGACATTCAGTTTTCTTTCTATCAAGATATTAGGCTTCCGGCATAGCATCAGAGAGAGGGTAGCATGTGACTTGTGCTGTTCTCATTGATATATGAAAATATTTGCATATTCATGAGGCACACACATAAAAATGCAGATACTTCTCCAATGACACATCAGACACAATGAATGAAAAAATACTTATATTTTCCTGCTATAGCAGCATAAAAGCGTTTGTGTGCATATGTGTACCTGATATTGATATTTTCCTTAAGGTCAAACCTAAACATGCCTTTTCTCTTTGCTGATGATCAAAAGGACCTTTTAAGAACACAAATTTATAATAAAAAAGATGTTTAATGATGTGAATAGCAGACATGACTGATAATAATACAGCACACAGATTGCCCTACAATATAGCCATAAAATCAGCCCTTCCTGGTGAAGCTTTGTTCTTCCTGGTTTAGCTGTGTTGGCTTCCAACACAACTTGACTCCTATACTCTTCACAGAGCTCAGTCTGCCAGCCACAGATGGTCTGTAATTGCAAGGTGACACCAACCTGCAATCTCCTCTGACATTTCAGAGCCCAAATGTTTCACTTATGGAGGTATAGGTCAGATTTGGGTTGTTTTTTTAAAGTCATTACAAAACAATTGACAATGTGACGAGACTTAAATTACCACCGTTTTGATTCTGATGATTATGAAGATCGTTGTGGTTTGTGGCAGGGCAGATCGCTCCCACCCATGCTCTGGCGCGCGTGCCCACTTTACAGGAATGTCCATGGCAGGGCATCCTTTCCAGGAGGCTCCAGACACAGCTCTGCCAATCAGCTGCCACCGTGGCGTCTGACAGGCGGGGCTGAAGACCAAAAGATCCAAGCCTGTGTCAAAGAAAGCCTCAGTAAAATAAAAACACATACATAAGCATTGAAAAGTGAAAAAACTTAAGTGGCTTGTCATCATAGTCACCACTAATGATATCAGCAGTAATAATATTTATGCAAATTAAATCTCATAATAAACAGGACTCATGCAGAACAACATAGTCCAACTGGCGCTTATTATTAAGCTGTTTGCAGATTTCAAGCATCATGAGCAATGAATATTAAAGCCCAGAGTTATTAATACAGTATGCCTGGGGGGTGGGACATTGTTCCTTTGTCAGCCAGACGTCTCACCTTTGACGGGCCTTTGTTGGAGCCAATCAGGGTCATTCGTCACATGATTACCCATGCAGAATGGAACAGCGCACCGCCTCGGAAGGGAACAAAGCCGGCACATTTCATCACAGGGATTCCAGAGCGCAGACTGGGTGAGCCCTTTATTTTTCACTCAAAGTGTCCCGGCATGTTGTCCGTGACATCGATCAGTCCGCTCCGTCTACTGTACCGTGCGCCAAGGCCAGACTCGCGAGAACAATTGCCCGCTTAACCAGGTCATTTGACAGACTGAAAAGACAGTGAAAAATGTATAATAAATGCATGAAAACCATTAAGTAAGTAAAAATGAAAAATAAATAGCCTACCTTATTGCCATAAATTAGCTACTTTCAAAAGTGTGAAAAACAAAAGTCTTTGCAGGAATTTATGTGATTGTGACAGCAGTCACCTTTGTGAGAGATTAGGAACAGGTCCAAGAAGCTTTTGTAATCATGATAAAAATTCATAGTGTGGTTTTTCTGCTGTTGGGAATCTAATTTTTATTGACCAAAAGGAAAACAGGAAAGAAAGGAAAAGCCCACAAGGGCCATGCATGAATCATTAATCAATATAGAATAGAGAACCTCACTCTGCCTGTAAAACGAAAATGGAAGTGAGAAGTTTTAATTACAGCTCATTAATTACTGAAAATGAGTTTAACCAAACTGAAAGCACAGTAGCCTTCTGAAACACAGAGACTCTGTATTCTGAGTTGAATTTGATGTTTTAGTATAAAATGGACATTATTGTTTGATACTGATTCTATCTCCCTGCTAACCATTGGGTCCTGGAAAAACAGCAGCAGAAATGTAACACCAAAAAAATCTTGGGGTGGGGGAGCATTAAACGGGCATCTGTACTAGTTTTTAAAAACTGTTTAAAACTGTGAAGTGCCCCTTAATGGTAGAGCAAATAAACCCCTCCATTTTTCGTGTTTAACTCATGGATTAGTGCGGGTACCTCAGTATCCTGTTTTTCTAGAGAGGGGTGTGGGGCAGAGGTACAGGGGCAAAAATATAATTAACGTCACTCCCCCGCCAGCCACAGACACTCGCTATGTTTGTGCCAACGTGTTCGTCCATGGGATCCTGACATGCAGGGCCCCGGGGGTGATGTTTGCGTAGCCTGTAATGCTCCGCCCCCCCCCCCGACCGGGACGTGTCGCTGTCAGGGCCACTTGTGGACGCACCTTCCCAAAGGACCCTTTCTGGGGCTCTGCGATTTGGGCATCAGGGAAGGGCCCTGAAAATCACGAAGAATGAGTGCAGGGCACCTAGTTCACACTACTGTCCTTCACCCCCCCCCCCTCCACCATTCTCTCAGGGCCAGGCACATGAGGGGGATTTGAGGTGGCCTGACAGCATCACAACACAGGCTGCAGCCATCTCCCAGAAGCCTGAGCAGGACCTGGAGAACATCTGAAACGAGTAAGAGCCAAATCAGGCCATGTTTACCTCGCTGCATACAACCGCACTGGCAGACTGGGTCTAACAATGATTCGATCCCACTTCCAAATGAAGCAGCGACTAAGTACCAATGGCACACTCGATTATCATTATGGCCCAAACAATACAAAAAGAACAACTGTTTGCCATAAAATACCATTAGTGTTTGCTTCCCTACACGGTGCCATTGTTAAAGGGTAACAACTGTGTTAATCTGTAGGCCCCATATCATCTAATACAATTAACTTGAGGAGATTAACAGAAAACAGTCAGTTCAGCCTGAAGTAACAGCAGACAATTCTACATCCGAGCTTTGTTCTTTTTTTAACATTAAAGTAATGTAGCTATGAGGTCACAGCTTACCCTGGTATATTGTGGAGGACATTACATGGGGGAATATTAAGATATATGCAGGTCGAGGCCTCCCATTTCAGTCCTTGGAGAGCATCAAAGTGGCCATTTTCCTTAAAAGGCTGGGACAGTGTGGAAAGGAGATTTCAGAGCCGGCTCTGATGAGACCGAGATAGGTTATCTGCCCCAATCAGAGTTCACTGACAACGGCTTTATAGCGTTATAAAGCGGGAGTACGGCTCAACTAATGAGGAATACTGGCTTAACTGCAGAAAGGGAATTCAGTCTGGCTTTGACTGTGTCGTGCTCTACTGCCTTCAGTGTTAATCACTCGCAAACACACAGTCACACACACACACGCACATGTAGGGTAAACATATCCTTATGGGGACCGCTAATTCATTTCAATGGGAAAAATGCTAACGCTAACTATGACAACCTTAACCCCTACCCTGCCCTAACCATAACCATAAGTAACCTAACTAAATACAAGAGTTTTTGCATTTTTAGTTTTTTCATAGCAGTCACCCATTTTTATAAAATAGAAAAAAAAAACAGATATTTATTACGTTATGGGGACATTATGTCCCCATAAGGATAGGTAAACCCGCTCGCACACACACACACACACACACACACAATTAGTCTGCAGGGTTGCTTCCTTACACCATTTCCAATTACTGCCTATACCCAAATAATGAAACAATATCTCTTGAATGACATGATAATTGCTTCGGTGTATTGTACCATGCTAATTATCTTTTTATTAACCTGAATAATTTTATAGCTAAATTTTGCTGTGTTCACCTCACATAGTTTCCATTTCTTACCCAGACTCAATGACAAGATCTATAATACGTCTCTCCTCCTACTGTGTTATGGGTAATATTTAACATTCAAACTGATGTCCATAACAGGCTGACCATGAAGACCACGCTGTGTATTATGGGTACTGGAATACATTATGGCAAGGAATGCATAGGGATGTCCTGATAACAGTCTGCTATCAAAAAAGCTTCCCCAGATTTAGACATCCATGAAGAACCATGCACCCCTTTAGGAGTCTGCTTTAATACGCCTTTAAGAGCCGGAACCTCTATTTCTTCCACGTTGTTGAATCAGAAAAAAATTAGCTGATGTACACCAGGAAGGGACTTCAGGAAAAGCCATGTCTGTTTTCACTTAAACCCTGTTGGGGAGAGTCTGACTTTACGGGCCGCTTGGGCACAGCAGACCGGGACTCTGAGTCTCCGTCAGTGTAGAAAGCCCCACCCCCCCTCCCCATTTAAGACCCGCTTTCATTACCGTTTTATTAAGTGTTAAAGGCGGCTGGTGTTTCAGGCACCAATTTAGCATGCGCTGTAAACGCTTGGTACAAATTGCTTTTCTCACTGTAATGTGAACCGTGAGGGCTGCTCTCGTCTGATCATCGATCGGCTTCTCCTGTGAGCATCGCCGGTCAGACGGCCCCTTGGAGATCCCCGCCTTCACCTGCCGCTCATCAGTGCTGAATTTGTGAAAAGAAAAGAAAAAAGCAGATAAGTTCAGCTGGGATTGTGGTCAAGCTGTTACCTGTGTGTAATATTCAAATGAGTAATGCAGCTGCTCCCATTCAGGAGATCACACTGCAGGCTGTTAGAAACCAACATACAGAGGGCAGAAGGCTTCTCTGCATAAACCAACGGTTTTGATGCAGGTACAGTCAGAAACAGAGCCCAGGCAGAGTCATAAATAAGCACATGCATGTGTAAGAGTGACTTTTCCAATTAGGGAATGAAAGAAAATATATAACATAAAGAAGTGTTTCATAAATGCTTGTTAAATGCCTCTGCACTTTAAATGCCCCCATTTATTACTCAAAATGCAGACAAATAGTTAAAGTGTTATATTTTACTTTGTCCCCTGGGGTAAGTGAAGTGTAAGTTATGGGGGGGGGGGAGAGAGAAACGTTTATTTTTCAACAGCCGGCTTGAATTTGGCCACAATTAATCTGCCCAATTTGATTATAAACTGCACAAATTAAACAATAAAGAGCTGTCTAATGAGGAATTAATTATGGGGGCCGGCAGGGGAGAGGGGCTGCGCAGAGAGCCATACGTCAGCTCCAGTGGCAGACAAAGGGGCCCTCCTCCATGTGTGCCCATGCTGATAGGGCCTTCATCACAGATCAGTAGATCCAGGGGCCATGAAGGAGCCATAATTGAAAGTGCCAAAATCAATAGTGCTGACAGGCTTAATTAAATTAAGTTCGTTTGGAGGATGAGCAGAGGCGGGGTGGCAAATGGCCCCCCTGACCCCCATCATGCAGGACTAGGGCTGTGGAGAAGAATGATCGTGTGTGTGTGTGTTTGTGTGTGTGTGTGTGTGGGGGGGGGGGGGGGTAGTGGTTATGTATTACATTGTAGGGTCCAAATGTCTTCACAATGTGATAAAAACCAGTTGTTTGGACATTGTGAGGACTTGTATTTTGTATTTTGATTGGTTACTTATGGTTAAAGTTAGGACTGGTTGGGGGTAATGGTCATGATGTTGGGATTAGAGTTTTCTCCATATTAATGAACGGAGGCTCCCCACAAAGGTAGTATTACAAAGCTTTGTGTGTGTGTGTGTGTGTGTGTGTGGGG